TCTTTTTGTTGTTAAAGTATTTGTAGAAACACTTTTTGTTGCCTGCATTCCTGAAAGACTCCATCAGTTTTCCAACAAAAACAGTGTGCTAAACTTGAGATATCCGACTTTCTCATATTTGTTTTTAAAAAGCTTCTGTAAAGAAGTTTATCATAAACTTCAGTTATACAGCATTAGCCTACAAAATTCTTAGTGCTTATGCATGCTTTCCAAAACCCTGCAGGTGGCTTTGCTTCTGTATCACGAAGGAGGCATTTGTTTTCCTAGAACATCCAAAAATGACCTAGTGATGATGCATCCTTAATCATTTGTTTCAAAGATACCACAGTTCCTATAGTGCCAGGAAAAAAATAATCTGTGCAAAAGTCAATGCTGCCTTTTTTTTTTTTTTTTTTTTTTCTTTTTTTTTGGTGTTACTACTGGCTCATGGTATGCACTACTAGGCTGAAAGAGTGATTCATCTGGTGCTTTCCAATTCTAGCCAGGTAGCAAATATCATACGTAGTTTATCTGAAGACTTCCCTGCTTGCATCACTCTGACAGAGGTGATAAATGCTCCTGTTGCACTACCAAGAAGATAGGAAAGCTAACACTGCCTTACTTGTTGATCACAAAGGAGAATAATCGGAAACCAGCATCTTTATACTTCCCAAAAATAACAGGTAACACATTCAAAACATTGTTAATTTAATGCTGAATTGTATTTAAAATCTGTATTTTGCTTGAACTCAAGAACCTGGTGGATTATACAAACAGAACATAAGAATCATAAATCCATCCAAATAAATCCAAAGGTTCATTCTGGCAAAAGAGTTATCAGTTCCAGGAAAGCAGCATTGGCACAAGTTAGAGAACATGTCAGAGACTAAGTCAACGCAGTCAAAACCAATCTGGTGAAATGATGAGTATCCTGACCACATCTCACACTCCAGCAGGAGTCTGGAAGCGTGACACAACTGTCGATAGCAAATCACAACACAAGGACATAGTTGAACGATACCCGAATAGTTAAAGGAATTAAGAAAACAAAGCCATACCACAGGAAACTATCCACTAAACAACTTATAGCCCTCCTTGTCTCACCACTGCGCTGGTGAGGGTTAGCGCTAAACATACTAGTTCCCAACACACTTGAAAAATGTCTTCAAGGAAGCTTCCCCAAAACCTCTCTCCACAGAACTTACACTATTCTTGGAGATTTCAGCTGTAAAACTCCATCTCAGCTTATAATAGAATGCAATTGAATAGGGACAAGTGAAAGTTACTATGCCTAGCAAGAAATAATTAAATGCACTATTACAAGATGAATTAAAATCAGCCGGCCAGCAGTTCTGTAAGAGAGGCTCATGAGTCAGAAGACCAACCTGATTCAGTTTCCCGCTCAAATGTGCAAACATCCCACTATGTATACGCACACATGGTATGTGCAGACTGCAGAGCTGCTAAGGAATTCTTCTGTTCTATTCAAAGACATCTGTAAGATTACTGTGCCTGGTTTGGGGTATGTCGCCAAGAAACATGTGGACTGACTTGAACAGGTCTTTTGGGAGGGAAAAACAAGGGTTTTTTTTCTTTCAAAGCCCCTGAAGAAAGTTTAAAAGGATTGGCAATATTCAGCTTAGGAAAATAAATGGTTGTAGGAGGACAGTAACTAAATAAACTGTCTTTCCCTCCTTTTTTGAAGCAATCTCTTTGCCGTGTTCATAAAGGATAGTAATGAGTCCAATAGCAAAGACGATACAGGCTAAACACTACGAAAAGAAAAATAATCATCAATGACAGCATGCAGTAGAAGAAATTTTGTGAGTAGGCTGTTTAATCTCCATGTTGAAGATCTTCAAAACCAGGCTGATCAGTACCCTACTTCTGAATGGATAAGTGTAATTGATCCTGACTTGGAAGGTGGTCCCTCAGCATCATTTCCAACACTAATTCCGATATAGAAAAAACTCAGTCTCTCCCCTGTCCCACTAGATGCCATTGCCTATGAAGGCAGAAAACTGGAAACACTAAGTTGATTCCTGAACTTCAAATACACCAGGATGCAAGGCTGACAAAGCCTCATGACACGGACAAGACAGTAAGATGTCCAAACAAAACCAGAAAACAGCTACAGACAGTAATTAACACACTATACGTAATTTGAGAGCAAGAAATCTGTAGTAACTGAAAGGTGCAAGATTTGAGAGAATCACTTCTCAAATGTATGAAAGCGTCATCCAGTTCTGCCAGGCTTGCAACAATATTAGCACAGATAGCTCACTTTCAACATATCAAACTCCAGTCTAAAACCCCATTTTCTTCAACAAAGGGGAGTGACTAGAAAAACTCTTGTTATAATGTAACACTGCAGGCAAGAATTTAGGAGAATTATGTATATAGAAAAGAACATTAAAAAAAGAGTAATCACAAAATGGACACCTAAAGAAAAAAGTGCTTATAAATGAAAGTGTAAAATAATCAGTAAGATACAAATGCACACGATGAGTTACATTCAGTGTTGGTGGTCTTCTTTCAGCTTCCAACTCTGACTAATTCAGAAATGGACAATATTCAAAATAACTGAACCAATGCGATCTAGGAATCGCTGTGTGAGAAGCTGAACATCCAAATAGAGGTGCAGTGGGTGTAAGTGAAAGATAAGAATAATCAATGGATTAAAAAAAATGAAGAGTTACCAAAGTACTATATTCAAAACAGGAACCTTGAGGGCAGAGGGATATCTGTGGCATATAGGCCTACAGAAGAAAAAAACCGCAAATCCCAGTCATCTTAAAGGCAGCAAATACAAAAGAAGTCACAGCAAAGCTATTTATAAATTACTACACAGCTATTATAACACTCTCAGAGAGGAAAAAAAAAAAAAACAACAGAGCTATTTACTGAACAAGCAGAATGATGTGCTTGTCTATTATGAGGAAGATGAAGTGTTCTCCAGTCATTAACAGACAGGGTGGTTACCTAGGCAGAAGAGGCAAATACTCCTACACACAGAGAATAAACGCTCCCAGCTCAACAGACCTGCACATCTTACACTCAAAGCCCCAAAACAGGTTTAGGTAATACCAAATGCTACAAGAATATTATTACCATACATGCTACACTAGATGGGAAACCACCGTGCACAGTAACAATAAGCCCTTTTTTCTTTAATCTTAAAACATAGGACAGAATAGATTTGATGTAAGAAAGAAATTAATAGTAGCACAATTCTATAGAAAAAAACCTTAGCAAGGTTTTTAAATTAGATTGCAGTTTGATCAGCAAAGTATAGGTAAATCATTGTGACATGGATATGATACACCAACAGTTTTCAAAGGCAATTAACCTTTCAGTTACACTTCCATTTTAACCAGGAAAAGCATGCATTATCAAATGAAGCTAAAAGAGTTTAATAGACATTTCTTCAAAACCAGGTGCCAAAAGAAAACAAGTTAGTAAATATTCATGTTTCCATTGGGGATCTGCAAACATAAACACTAGTTGCAAACATGCAATGCTTTAATCCTTACTAAAAAAGCAAGTCTAAAATCTCCACTGCTAAAACTCTTGGTAGGTAAGTGACAAACACAGGACCCTTAACAGACATGAGATTTCTAGAGTAAGTTTGACTTTATCTGTTGGAAATAACGGGTAAAATCTGATTTGAGTTTAACAACCACTCACAGAAAGGACTGTGTAATCAACATGACACCACCATGAAAGGAGGAAATGTGTCAATTTAAATTCTTCTAGCAGAGATAAAGTTCAACATTACATTGGTGGGAGCTCATTTGAAATGTCTGAACCATCCCACCACCTTAGCCCCTCTGAGAGGTCAAGCTTTTCCACCAGAGCTGCATTCAAGTGCAGGCGAACTGAGATACTGGTGCACGGAGGAACTCAGCTGGATGACAGCCAGAGCCGTTTCCACTGCCCCAACGCGACACAAGGAAGCAGGGAGACATGTGGTGGTTTAGGAACTTCCACAAATCAGCAGTTGCCTGGACTTGAGTTACGCTCCCCTTCTACCTGTCCCCTTCCCCCAAAGTGTCTTGTGTTTATTTTGAAAAAAGATTTAACGACCCTGCATGGGTAGTCTGGATTTCACGCTCAGGAAAGTGCAAGCCCAACTGCAGAAGGCTGAAGCAGAACCAGCAGCCCTATCTGAAAGAAAGTAACAAGTGACCACGCTGGAATAAGGTGTAAAAGCATTATCTTCTCTACCCTCTTGAATATCACTGATCGACACAGGAGACATTCTTCTGAAATGTGGATCTCTAGCACAGAAATAATTACATACAAGAATTACTTTTATCTGGTTTGGATTTAAGAAAATCTGTGCCTCTACAAGAACAAATCTACTGGTAGACTGGACATACCCAGGAGTTATAACCATTTTAGAGATTAAAATCTACATTTAAAATGAGGAATTAATCAGAGTCCATGCTCCCTACAACAGAATTAAACTGTAATAAATTCAATGGAATTTGCCTATTACTGTTCTGAAACTTAGATTCTAACATTCTATAAAATAACCCAAATACAGTCAAATCAAACATTAAAAAAAACTTTTTTAATGAAAAGTCTTACCTTTGGTGCATGCACATAATCTGTCTGTGCCCGAACAGTATATCACAGAGACAAACATATCTGGTTCCTCAGTGCCCTCTTTTTTAGGTGGCTCCACTTTGGCCAGAATTTCAAAGTTCGAAAGATCTAGTATTTTTACATATCCTCCCTGAGTAGTTATTACCAGGTGCCCAAGAGTAGAGATCTCAGATCTTCTCTCTCTCCCACTGCCATTTTTAGAAGTTAATTGTATTTCCTCTACAGGCTCCTCACAGTCATCCTCTCGATTATCCAATATATCTGGTGGGAGCAAAATCATTGAGGTAATTGTGTCTTGGGGGTCTTTGATATGTTGGATTTTTACCGGCTCCTCCTCTAGAGTAACTATTCTAGTGGCATAATTCATCTTATAAAGTACTAGGTATCCACCGCTAACACTTCTCTGTTCAGGTTGAATTATTAAAGGAGTTGGTACATCTGCTGGTGACTCATGTTGGATTACATCAATACTCGTGCCATTCACTACAGCAAGACTTGATTCTAGTTCCCCCTTCCGTCTATTACATAGTGCCGAGTTCAATTTATTTAAATTATTCAAGGCCTCTACTTGATTTATTGCACTCAGAGATTCAACAGGACAAGTCCGCAGTCCTACTAACAAATGAACTCCATCTGCACACGGAGTGATTGAGTCTACACACAGGTTCTCCTCCTCTGCAAACTTGGGCAGACGCAGGCACTGAACCAAAGTCCCAGGCTTGGGAACCATAGAGCTCCACTTGTCCGAGTCTGGAGAAGTTAGGTTGGCTGCGGCATCTGCAAACTGCTGAATGTAAGTCACAGGGGGATCCTGTAACAGCAGCTGCTCCTGACTGTCCAGCTCCATTTCAATGATCTGTGGAACTGTGAAACCATCATCATGGATACTTTTACTCATAATATTGTTCATCTGCGAAAAGATTTTTCCTGCTTTTTCATCAGACTCCTTAATGCTGTATAGCAGCAATACAGGTAAAGTCCTCCTTACGAGAGGGGAATTCAGTTCGGAGTTAGTGCAGGATTCATTGTCAGTTGATCCCTGTTCCGAGACACTCTCACCTCGAGTCCTACTCAAGCCATCCAGTGACCTCTGAGAGTTACTGCTAACAGGAGAGGTAGCAGGGGATTTGTATGTTAGTAGACCTCCAGCTAATAAACAAGGAAAGGGAATGTTGTGTTGTTCTAGATGTTTTTCCTTCATCTTTTCACTCTTACAGTTGGCCAAACAGGGATTTGCCCCAAGTTCTTCTAGATCCTTAACCGTGTCTTCCAGAACATTTGCAACAATTTCCCACTGAAGTTTTTCAGGTTGCTGAAGAATGCTGAGCGCTGTTATATCAAGGCTGACTTCCATAGTTTCTTTTTGTGACGTATGCCCTTTAAAAAAAAAAAAAGTTTAACAGAAGTGAAAAAAAAAAGAAGGTATGATACTGCATATATTATGGACTTATCCTCATAATTAAGCAAAGAGTCACTGCTCTACAGTTTTAATATGTTAAAACATTCCATATGTTCAATATTTGATAGTCAAGAAACAATAAAAGAGGCCCAGAAATGTTCCTTGCACATAGACTAATGGTCCTCCTAATCTTATCAACAAGAGTGAAAGTAAAGAGAACAGGACACTAGCCGTTGTGACAAGTCTCCCAGCAAACAGCATTATCTTTTACCAATTATTCTACTTAGGCTAGACCACCATGCTGAAACCCACCTAGTCTAATCAACTCAATTCAGGGCCTGCTATATATTATTCCCCCTCCTTCCTGGACAATCCAGTACTATCAAAAACATGGCATTTTAATCTAGAACTTGATACTTCCCACCATGGAACAGATCACCTAACAGAAAGAACTCCACGCTACTATAAAACAAAACCCAGTAAAAACTTAAGATAGCCGATCAAATTAAACAGTACTGCAAGAATAACAATGAGTCAGAAGAGCTCAACTAAGTAACGCAGAGATTTAAAAGATTACAAAGGACACCATGCAAACCCAGATTAATAGATGACTTAAGCATAAGTGACAGAACATTGTCTTTGCTAATACTTTTGTTCAAAAAAATCCTTTTGACATCTTAAGTTTGTTTCCTTGTCTGCACATGTTACTGTTTCCCCCCACTCGCTGATCATTACTCAAAGATGTAAACCAGATTATGGAAAATAAACCTGTAATCCTCCCTCAAAATTTCTGATTCAACCTTTAAGAAAATAACACAATAACACCATATATAGCACTGTTCTTTATTCAGGAAGAGAAATACTCTATCAAAGTGCATACCCACAGAGAAACAGTCAAGAAAAAGGAACTCTCTCTGGCAATCCCCTGAATTTAAAGGGGTTTGTAGAGCTGTAATTTGTCCTGTTCTAAGTAAGTTCTTTTAACTTGGTTTGTGTGTTTATTGACAGCAAGATAAGCAATGCTTGTTGTCAAATAAGACATTTATTAACCAACAAAGTAGGGTTACTCTTCTCTCCTGCATGTAATCGCTCCACACACAAACAGTGACTTAAATATTTGCACTGCTTTCAAGGCCAATTTTTTTTTTCATTTTTTCTGATACAGTGAATATAATACCATCGGTTTTGACAGCACTTTTTTAAAAGCCCGAGAAGAACAATTTCTCTCCTGATATCTAAACTATCAGATCGATCAGATATAACCTACCTGTCACAGATTCTGATCTGGAATGCTCTTCACTGTCTGAATCCTCCAGTAGGTCATCACTACAGAAAAATAATGCACGAATGACACAATGTACACTGTAGCTGCATTCTTGTTTTTAATTAATTTTTTTTTGAAAAGAGTAAAAAATACAATGTGTATTCCTGGTTTTAATTATTTTTTTTTTCTAAGAGTAAAAAATACAATGTGTATTATAGACTGTCATTTCTTTTAGCCAGCACTGTACATGCATTGATGAGCTGGTCACAGACCCTTACAATATAAAGATTTTTTTCCTCTGTCATCAAACCAGTAGACCAGCTTTCCGTTTGCCTCATTCCACTATCGTATTCCCAACAATTCAGACATAAATGGAAAATGAAAGCCAGTTCTCAGAAAACAAAACCAACCAAACGAAACTTCTAAAACCTGATGACACCTTCTTCAAAGTTCCTCAAAATAGCCTCTGAAAGGTAGAGCTGCCAGACTGGTCTTCAATTCTACCAAGGCTATTTTGTAGCTAGCACAGGAAGGACGTACGGGCAGTATCTTGCTTTTAAAAATACTATCAAATGAATCATTTATTCATAAAAGCAGATTCTGTTCAAGATAGCTCTTTGTCCTGATTTGAGCTAAAACAGAACTAATTCTGTTCAGTGATTTTACTTTTCAGTTAAGTCAAATAACCACACTTTCTGAAACCAACAGCATGTTTTTCCAGACAGTGACTGCTTCTAGCAATGATAACACTTGGTGTTTGTACTTAATAGCAAGGAATGGGATGCAGAAAGGCTCTTGCTTATGCTTGTTCCTATAGCAACCAAGGTCACTGCTGAATCTTGTGCCCCATGTTGGGGTGATGGAAGTGAAAAGGGTCACAAGTCGATAAAAAGGTCGCACCTGCGGGGAGGAGCAAACCGGGCAGGTGACCCAAAACTGACCAACAGAGTATTCCATCCCATATATATCATATTCAGTACTGGTTTTGTACTTATTTGCATATATTTCATTATTTCCTTATTTTTATTATCATCTTTTCTTTTATTGTTATTGTTTCATTAAAGCTGTTTCAATTTTTTTAGTAAGTCTCTCTCCCTTATTCTCTCTCCTTTCCCCTACTGGGAGGGGAGAGGGCTAGAGAGCATCTGTCACTCATTAGTGGCTGGGGCCG